TAGATTCATAGAGTATGCGACGGAAAGACTCGATCGCCGTATATTCTATAAAGATAGAGCCTAACTGCCGCAAATTTGGTAATTCCTGCGTGGTAATTCCACATGTGAACGAAGTCGATTCAATTTCATTTATATCAGAAACGTTGCGAAATGAAGATGTAGTCGTTACATTTACGTATATTACCAGATATATCTATAATGGTTCGTATTCCTTCTCAGGATTTAATAATTTCCAATACGTCATACCACAATCAACTGGTTATTGGCAGCAACATTTACTGAGGTATTTTTATTTTTGCGCTGCCTCCGAAAAGGCCGGTTTTTTTGCAATAACAATACTTTTCAATTAAAAAATGAAAAATTTGTTGATAATGGTACCAATGGGGAGTCAGAACCTACCAGATGCAAAAGGTTTCGTTCCGATCGGTCCATCCAGCTAGGTGTAATCGGCGGGCACACATAGAAAAAAAAAAAAAATATACTGATCGAAAAAAAATATACTGATCGAATTGAGTAATCTACTCCTTTTTCGAAGTCGGTTAAAAACGCGTATAAATTTTATGAACAATTTAATCTTTGCACTTTCTGTTTACCTCTAATCTGCAATGCACGCACCACACATTTGGCCGTTCAAGTCGATGTTTGCGACCTCCTTTACCTTCCTGAATGCTTCCGTTTGTTTTGTAGGTAACAGGTAAACTTATTATTTTAAATGGTAAAAGTAATACAAAAGCGATTGTTCCAGTCATAAAGACATAGAAACTGAAGACATGTTCGAAATTGTATACATATCATCAAGCATTACATTCCTCATGCAGCCGATGGACCAAGGTGTGATAGCTAAATTTAAAATGTTGTACCGTCATCAAATACTTCGTCGTATTTTGCAATACGGAAGAGTAATAGATGAATTTGATAAATTATTTAATATAAAAGATTGATCTTGTAAGTAAATCATGGATAGACATTACACCCGCAAATATATTAAATAACTGGAACAAAATTCTGACAAGGGATTGCAAGGACGAGGAAGAAACAAATACAAATATTTTAAATATTTCTATCCAGTCTGCTGTGAGTGATATGATACAAACAATAACTGGTGCTTGTATATTTATTATATTGTATATATTGTATATATTACTGTGTATTGTATATGTATAATTCATATAGTATTATTATATTATGTATTCTATATACTGCATTACACTTAAATGATGTTTCGATTGATTGTTAAATAGATTTATTAAAATTATAGATAAAAATGTTCCTCAAAGTATTGATTAAACTAGCCATTAAATTTAAAAAAAAAATAGACCAGCACTATAATTTCAGAAAATATATTTTTCGTAATACTCCAGAATCGCTATGTGTTAGAGTGAGAAAACAATACGTTTCTTGCACTTAAATAATTTTTCCGTCAATTTTTTTTTATTTTTGTTAAATAAATTAATTAAGATTATAAATAAAAGTATACCTCAAATTATTGATCACTGTCAGCCATTAGATTTAAAAGAAAGCATATTGATATAATATAATTTTCGAGAATATACTTTTCATAATACAACAGAATCGCCATGCATCAGAGTGAGAAAATAATATATACGTTCTGTCCTGTTTCCACTAAATTATTCGGTTGATCGCGAAAAGTTACGACTTCTTCGGTTTCACGGACCCCTCACTCCTTCACGGATCTCTCACTCGGCGACGAACTTCGAACAAAGAAGTGGGGATAAAAATTTGCTAATTTCAAAGCTCGAAACTGTGCTTGTTTCGAAGCAATACTGTGTATAAATACAATCGCGAGCAATTGTAAAATTACGTATACGTAAAGCCAAAAAGGAAAGAAAAAGATCCTACAGAAAAAAGAACTTTTCAAAATAATGCCGCACGCTGTTCATTTAATCACAAGTCTCTCCAACTACTATCACTGTCATAGAAGTCTTGATACAGAATGTCTCATAACTTCTAAGAACATTATTCGAATAACGATACAAAAATGCAAAAACTGACAATAATAGTTTCCTGAAGGGAATATTGAATAGAACTGAATTGTGTATTAAAAATAAGTACTGTAATTAATTAATGCAATATATTTGCGACTATTTATCTTTTTATGTACAACCAGGTTGGTTTTAAAGAAAAACTTAAGTAGCAACCTTGGAGTGGTGGAAAAATTCAACTTTATATGAAAACAATCTTGTGCAATAAAAATACAAAACATTCATAGTGATTTGATAATACAAAAACTTATTGCTTTGGTTATTGCATGATTTCTCTTTTTTTATTCTAACACATAAAATGTTATTACTATTTTAATTTGTATTTGATAAAAATAGTAATTATACATCAGTTCAAACAGAGGGATTTAAATACATACTTAAAAATAATTATTTCCTGAATTAATGTTATATTTAGTGGATAAATAAAAATTAATATTCTTGGTCCTAGTGAGATTGAAATCATTTAGTGGAAATTAAATTTGGAATTTAAAAAAACTAAAACAGGGGCAAAATTAAATGCGCCAGTTAGTTTTATATTGACATACAGCTGTAAGTAAAATTGAAAGAATAACATTTATTAAATCTAGTGCGGGCAAAATGTGCTTTAACGTTCCATAAAAAAAGGTTTTATTTCTGTGGAAAAATTATAAATACTGTGTATTCATTAACAACAAAGATTATAATTACTGTTAAAAACACTGCCTTCAAGATTGCTGTATATAAATCTGATTTGAAGATAAAAATTAAAATTAAATTAAAAAATGATAAAATGATAAATACTATAAATACAAAAGATATAATTTAAACATATGGGAAAATATTGTGCAATAAGTGAATAAGAAAACAATAAAATTGGTACCATGGTTGTCACAAGCAGTTATAGATCGAAAACATTATACAACAGAATACTAATTTTATGTAGTAATTTTATTACATAGATGTCAAATATAATATATACAAAATATTAAAACTTATGTATATTCCCAGTACTTTAAATGTTAATAGAAGGAAGGTGCGCAACATGAAAAAATCAGTAAAAGATAGGCAGACTATCTTATGTTATTATGTATACAGTTATGAACAACATCAGATTATTAGAAAGTTATGATAAAACAAAATTTCATTTCAATTTTACAAAAGTATTAATGACTAATTGACTATACAATTCTTGTAAAATAGCTTAAAGAATTAACCCTTTGCACTCGGAAAGTTTATTTTGCGTTCAAAATGTCCCCTCAAAGGGGACAGCCGAGTGCAAAGGGTTAATAAAATTATTGAAATGGATACATCAATATTTGGAAGAAATATCATAAGGGACATTTAATTAAAGACCAATAGACATTTAGCACAATTTAAAAAAAGTGAGAAAATATATTTTTTGTCACAGTTGAAAGTAAAAATACTGAAACATTATTGAAGTATTCAATAGCCGGATTACTTACTATGTATTAGAAAAGAAGGGTTACAAGATCTTGTAAGTACATTACGATATGAATTTTAGTAATCGTGAGACTGGTATACATATAAATACAATAAAAATTGCATGACAATACAGTAAACACTTTGAGCCAGACTGTGTTGGTTATTGCTTGTCATTTTAATCATATTTATTTACTTATTATATTTAATACAAAATATAGTATTAATTGTGTTTCCTACTTCTAGTAAGGAAGATAGTTTTATTGGCAATTTAATTTATATTGCTTAAAACTTGAATAAAGAAAATGCTGAATTATTATTTGAACTCCTAACAGAAATATTTAAGGTTCAAATATTTCATATAGTATTATTTAATATTAAAATGAATATTTCACTGCATTTTCTTCATTTAAATCTCCATTCATGGATACGACAAAACTAACTCAATATTACTTTGTTTTAAAAATTGTAGTCAGTTTAAAAAATAAAAAGCTTTCACGACTTATGACATGCCGGTTAGTAATGTACACGACAAAAAAAAATCGAACGATGTATCATTTGTCGCAATGTGTTAACGGACGATTTTTGGAAATGTTTTAATTAAAATTTTAATTCATTAAAATTTACATATAATTATACTTACTTCAATAAATTGATTCACAATAGCATCACATTTTCCGACCAAATGTGCGTTTTTCCCTCCACAGAAACAGTTCATCTTCATCATGAAGTTGACTCACTGAAAATTAAATTTGTTAATGTTAAAAAACAAAAAACATTTTTGTTGCAAGTTTGTTATTATAGAATTGTTATTATAGAAATGGCTTTACCAATAATATATATCTATGTATAAATGTATAACAAAAGCGTAGAAAGAAATACTTCGTTGAAATGTGGTCACAGTTGGTCGAACGTTGATTTGAAATGCGAATCGGTGACTATAATTATGGATGAGCTACAGGACACCTAGAACCGCAATTTTATTGGCAAGTTTATGCTCCGCCAGATATCGCTGTTGTCGCAACTATAATAACTTTGAATATATGTACTCTTGCAGGTAAAACGCCTTTTTGCGAAATGTATAGTCAAATATGCTATCTCGCTCTAGAACGGATACGATTGATTGGAAATGGATACTCGAGCTCATTGGCTCCCATTGCGGAAGTGAATAAAGCTTTTGTAAACACCTCGAAATAATAATGTATATAAATAATTTTTTTATTGTTAAGAACAAACAAGATTGCAAAATGCTAAAAACGTGTTACATATCATATTGTATAATTTTTCTTACGTACTATCTACAATGTTTTTCTACGACAAAGTTGAAGATTATGTTGCAAACTAGTGTTTATTTATTTTTTGTAATATGTATTACTTTAATTTTTGACAGAGTTCCTGCAGATGAAAATGTAAGAACAATGTGAACTATAGTATTATTGAAGCTGATGGTTGAGTTAAAAAAGTACACATATACATGTGACTTATGCTTTGGAAGCAAGTATTTTTACTATGCAAAGGATCTGACTAATACTTCATTGTCAAATATATTATTAGAAAACAATTTAATTATTAAGAGTGAATTTACAAACAATTAATTGAAAGTGAGCAATCAATAGCTGTTGTAACAGATTTTGAGAGAAGTACTGTATTAAACCCCCAAAATGGAAAAATAAATTTGAATTATTGTAAGTCACTTGAAAACAATTAAACAGAAAGTAATTGTGAAAAATGATTACAAATTTCTGTTTAAATACTAGTTGTAAAAATGAAGTATCGTGTGGTTTAAAAACAAATGTATTATATTGATCCATTGTTTCTTTAAATATACTTTTAATTTATCGCTGTGAAGATGAGTGGAAAATCACTTGGAGATTGAATGTAACTAATAAATCGATAGTATAGAAACAAGTAAGAAATATACAGTAATAAAAATTTCTCAGTTAATCAAATAAAACAAAATTTCAAATGATATCTGAAAGTAAATATAATCTTTCAATTTGTAATGACAACAGTGTAATCGATAATACTAATAAGTAAAAATACTAAACTAGATTTTATATTCATTATTATATTTCATATGAGTTATTATAAGTAATGTTCATTTAATTCCTCTTCAACAGTAACAATAAGTACAAAAGAAAAATGTGCACAAATATTTTTCTAACTACTATCAATTTGGATTCTATTGAGATTATTCATGTAAATATATGTTAAAGAAGATATTAAGAGAAAGTAAGGAAGAGGCGAAAAGCCTTTGTTAAAGTAACAGAGCTTTGCAAATAAAAGTTTACCATTGCAAAAAACGTGTCAATAATATATATTACTTTATAATACATGTAAGAGATTATAAATACACAAATGAAAAATTTTTGGAAGTGTTGACTGTAAGTAATAAAAGTAAATAGTAAAAGCAATTTAGTTTACTGAGGAGTATGTTTAAACGTTTGACAAATGAATACTATATAATAAAGATGAATGTATGGTTAATTGATTATAAAAATTATATTGAGAATATTGGTGGCAAATATTGTAGATCTACAGTCAATTGGATGTTGTTTCTAATATGAACAACTTATGATGTAAATAGTAATCTAAACCTTTATTTTGATTATTTACATTAAAAAATGTTGGCAAATTTCGGATCAGTTCAAGAAAATGGGGTACTCTCCAATTTAACTGATTTATATATCAAAAGAAAGCCCTTAATTCCCACCGCTCTGCCCCTACAAGCCAAAAACTGAAACGGTCCAAAAAGTGATTTTTCCACATATCTCCGCAAGTTTATTATTTCCATCCCTTTTATTTTTTATACGTTAGGTGATCTCGGTACCGCTGGTATACAAGATCCCTTTCTTCGTTCGATAATAAGCGAATAGTATCTATTGGCGCCATTTCACTTCGTTTGTACTAGATATACTGAACGTTTCGACTGAACTTCTTTCCGAAGCGCACGAAATTCTCAGACAGTATAATCCGCAATGGAATTTAAAAAAAGTAATAGCATAAACACTGCTTACCTTGTATATGGGCCAACGCGAGCGCAATCCAAACATGTCCACTCACCAGGCAAGAAATATAAATACAGTTCAAAATCTAAACGTACTGGCGTAGCCCCTCCCCCTGCACCCCCCCCCTCCCATACGATATAACCTAACCAAACCTGATTATAAAAAAAAAAGGGATGGATATGATAAACTCGCTGAGATATGTGGAAAAATCACTTTTTGGACCGTTTCAGTTTTTGGCTTCTAGGAGGCAGAGGGGTGGGAGTTAAGGGGTGGGATGACCACCGTTGAAATCGCCAAGTCAAGGGCTTTCTTTTGATATATAAATCAGTTGAATCGGAGGGTACCCCATTTTCTTGAACCCAACTCAAATTTTAAAATACTGAAAAATTGTTATGTTTCATGAATTCTTTATAATTTGTCACACATTGTGCTATATATATTGTGCTGTATACGACAATGTAATTCATGTGTTGATTGAAAAACTACTATTTCCTCTTTTACATATCCCATGAATGTATTTTTTTATCCTACAAATACTGAGCTATACTATGCTACAACATAAGTGTTTGAAATGAATATATTTTGTCAGTTTCTACATTGTATAAGCCCTTTTGTACAAAAATATTTTTCAAAAAAAATATTTTAGCCTGATTGCAATTGTGGTGTGTGGTATGTGTGTGTGTGTACTTTGTAATTGTATGGTATGTGTGTGTTTGACATGGGTGCATAATATGAATGAAGCTTGCGTATGGTATGATTGAAGTTTGCATGTAATGAAGGTTGCTAGAAGATTGTCTTTTTGGTGCGATTGAATGTTTTGAGAAGAAGCTGAGAGGTATTGCTTTGTGAGAGATTGTGTGATAAAGACGTGAGAAATTTGTTAATTTGTGAAGTTCCATTTTGTGTTGCGTTTAATTAATTATAGCCAATTATATTTTGTCAATAAATCTCATTAATCGTTCTAATTATTAAATATTATACTACACAATAGAGGAAAATGTATTACGAAATAAAATAAACTATTATTTAAATTATGTTTATACCACTCTAACTTCAAAAACATAACTACAATATGATTATTCGGCTCTTGTGATAAAAAATATAGTTCAAAACGGGCGAGTAAAAAGATTTTTACTTCTATAGCGTGAAAGATGTTTGAATGCGAGAAGAATTGCGCGCGAATAAATGAGAGCGAATGACAACGAGCAATAGGTAAGGTATGTAGGATTGGATGAGTGATGTGCGAAGCGGGAAGTGGAAGGAGTGTGCGTGAGAACTATAAGAAGGCGAGAAGACTGTAACCAGCGAGCAGTGTAGAAGTACGAAATACAAATTATATTCTAACACTTCATTACGTTTTTCTCACTTGCTTTGCTCGTGTAAAAACATCACATGAGCTAAATATTATTATGATTTATTTATTACATTAACTTTCTTTTTATGAAATATTTGTCCATTTTTTTGTATTGTAGAATACTGTGCGTCCACAAGCTTTGGGCACTTTTCAAGACTATTATATAGATCAAAAGCTAAAGCTGCTTTACCAAATTCATTAAAAGCATTCGCCACCGCATTTCATAAACTGTATATTATATTATATAGGGTGTCACACAACTAGTGTTACTACCTAAAAAAGGAGGTAGAGGATGTCATTCTAAACAAGATTTTCCTTTGCAAAACTAGAGTTTGAAGCTTCATTTTTTATTATTAAGGAAAAGCACGGACCAATCAGAGCGCGATGATGATGTGCGTCCAGAATCAAGAGTGACAGCTGCGAGCCTTATAGCTCAGTGATCAAGCTCCTATGCGTCGGGACAGTCTAAACATTTAGTATGAAACCCTTACAAAAGCCAGTTAAATAATGGACAGAAACACCCTTATAATTGCCTAATATAATAAACACGGATAAACAACGCAAATGAAAACGCGTGAACGATTATTCATAAACAATTTCCTGCTTTCATGGAATTATTAATAGCATCGATGCTAATTTTGTTGGTGCCAGACGAACAATTAATTTTTTGTGCCATTTGTTTATAGTGTTTAGATGGGATAAACTTTTTATGAAACAATTACGAACATAGTTATACGCTTTGGGCAAATAAATATTTCATTTTTAAGCGTTATAATATGTATTAAATTAAAATCTTAAAATATTATGAAATATCTTTATACATATAAAACTGCTTAGCTGTATCCAGCCGGCAATTATGTGAGAAGATGGCAAGGTGTACCCCTACACATATGGTATCAAAATGTTCGTCCATGGCCACAGGTGTGCAAGTTTGTGTTATTTTTTTGATATCCACTATCACTGATGAACAAGGTGTCTGCATAAAATATCTTAAAAATTATCGTTTTTTTTTACCATTATACCCTAATACTCTTTTATTCAGAATATTTCAGAGAATCAATTTATCTAAGAAAAACTATACATATACAGTAAATATTCGATATATGCACTAAAGTTATCCCCACCACTGGGGGGAAGACCCCTTCAGACACCGAGAAGCTCGATCGCCGAGAAATGTAACGTGATCCGAGCCTTAGCGTATCCGTGAGACAATACCAATGCAAATATGAAACTTTTTTATTTTTGATTTTTCCGAGATCCAACTTTTACCAATAGATTCTTTACATTTTTCTGATTAAAAGAAAACCAAACACGACATAATTTGGGCTATATTTACTGGTTATTTACTGATTTAATTGACGATAAAAGTTTCTAACGCAGAGGAGGATAGCGAGTCGAAAAGAAAGAGACGCTGCGATCGTGGCAGTCGGCAAAGATCAAAAGTCTGTTCGATTGTTTGCAATACTTGAGCATTGCTAATTTTTTTATTTTTCATCCATTTTTTTATGTAACTTTTTACATCATATTCGTGACGTTTTCCTGATTGAAATGAGACCAAACACGACGTAATTTGAGTTATATTTACTTGCAATATCTTATTAAAGTAAAATCATCGAT